CTGGTTTCTGCTATGTCTCAGTCTAGGAAGAGGAGAGATGATGAAGATGTTTGTTTTGCTTGCTTCGATGGTGGTACTCTTCCTCTCTGCGATCACATGTGAGTGAAGTTCGAGCTTAGAGAAGATACTTCAAGCTAAAATTTCCTTAGAAATATAGAATTGTTCATTTGATTGATTTTTGCCTTCCTTAATATGTCAGGGGTTGTCCAAAGGTGTATCATCCAGCTTGTTTTAAGCGTACTTATGCATTCTTCAGACCAAGAGCTAAATGGAATTGTGGTAAGTTATTTTGATTCATCTACTTTTTCAGTGTGCTTTAGTGCATTTTCATACATTAGCAAAAGATTGAAGAAATTAGTTGAATCTTCAGAGTTTCTTCGATATTTGGCGTGTTAGTTTTCCTATCCGTTTGGAGCTTCAGTGGTGATGATAATGATGATTGTTTTTTTCAGGTTGGCACATATGTACAGCTTGTCAAAAGGATCCCTCTTACATCAGTTATACATGTCCATATACTGTTTGTAAGAGTTGTGTTAGAAGCTGCATTTTTGTTGCTTTCCTTTATTGACAAATCTGAAAGTACGTCTTCGTGGAACCTGAATGAAATCCATTTGAGAGGCCTTGTCTTACGATGTCAGTTTTTTTTTTTTTTTTATAAAAGTGTCTTTACATATATATTTTCTAGGTTCAGGTCGATTTTAAGATTTATTCGGTTTCCCTTAAAGAAAGCTATCTTTATCGTTATATGATCTAACCAAAACAAAAAAAAAAACATGGAAATCTTCTTCATCGACTGCTTCTATTTACTCTTTCTGTCATATAAGTCTAATGTAAATTAATTCCAAAATTTGAAGTGTAACATAAGGATGACCAATTTCAGTATAATAAGCCATTAAGCCAATAATAGCTTACCTTTTATTTATTTCCTTTGATATCCACAAAAATTATAATTCTAAATTAAATGTATTATTGTAATTTTCTTACGCTTTGAAAAATACATATTTTATTTATTAAAGTTAACAATATACTACACAAAAATATTTAAAATTTTAGATAGATAACTACAATTTTAAAACAAAAGGTCAAAAAAATAAAGTCACAAAAAATTTTAATAAAAAGATTCGTAACTGTAACACCCGCATCAGGGATTATGAATTCCACCGCAAAATGTTGTCAAATCAGTTATCTCATTACTCTAAAATTTCTTTATTACATGGTACGGTGAAATTACAATGCGAGGAACTCTAAAACTACCACGCCTTGGGATAGCCTCTACCGTATCTGGCGCATCTTCCTACCTTGCTGCATCCTATGAGCCACCTAACCGGATCTCCTATCCTGCAAGTCTGGTAAGGGGGTGAGTATTGAATACTCAGTAAGACGGTCTACTCCGTCTCACGACCTAACATAACCTATACCACATGATGCCTTGGCACCATGCGTTTACATAATAACCAAGTAAGTGCTATTGCACTTCCCTTAGTACTCATATATAAATGGGAGTCCCAGACTCCATTATTCAACACAAGACAGAGGAATCTCATTCCTCTTTTGGTCTTGCCCGAACTTCCATAATTTATATAATATATATACGAGAGTCCCGGACTCCACTATTCAACACAAGACGGAGGAACCCTATTCCATTCTGATCTTGCCCGAACCTCCATTATATTATGCCCGTCGACAGAATTTCCACAACATATTTTTCCCCGTATGGTGAACCTCCATTGACTCCCGGAGCCCTTCCGGTAGTTCTTGTCTACCAGGTTTTCGTGCCACTTTTTCAGGCCAAACATAAACAAGTCGGCGACGAATGCCCATACAAACGCCCCTATGCAATAATGTATATGTGGCCTTGTGAACCTATTATCCTACCGGTTAATATGCATTCTACTCTAGACTCTCCTAAGGTTCACAATAATTCTCTACTTCATTTTCACCTATTCCACTCTTCTACGTTCTCAATCAATAGCCGAAGCATTTTAAACAATATCTTTACCCTGTATGTTCGGCCTTAGGTAAGCATGGCTATCCCATAACGTTATCCATGACACATATATGGCCACACGGTAGCCGTCCCTGTAGAAATACACACATAAGATTATCCGTTAGTTGTGGATAGCTCATGACACCAACTTGTACTACCGTCCAAGTGATCTCATGTCTATCCTCTATCCCTTTGACCGTAAGCCATCTGACTTGAGTTTGTCAACCCTTTTTGACTCTTCTCTCACCAGACCTTACTTGCAACCATGCGTCGGGTTAGCTAAAGTAGTACAAGTATAACCATTTGATTATCCTAATAGCTTCCTACCTGGTTCACAACAATCTCTAGCAAACTGTCGGATCCTACAAACAAGCGAACCATCGGGTAGAACTTACTTCCTTGGAGCCGTAGCTCTACCATAGCTCTATTTACAAGGTTCAACGATCATTAGTCTTTCTACCTTTCGGCTTCCTGGACTAACTTCTCATTCGGCCCAAGGTAACTCCCATGGTAGAGTATAGCCTAGCCAAGACTCACTTCCTAAACAATCCTAACGATATGATTATGAGTTGATCTCCAACTGTGATCCGCCCATACAAACCACAACCTTTCTTCAACCCACCAAGCAACGAGTCACTCTCGCTCTGCTAAGGCCGATTAAGTTTCCTCGAGACTATGGTTGAATTCCATGCCCGGAGCTCACATCGCATGTATCCTGACCCGTAGTCCAACGTGAATAGACTAAGTATCATGTCAAGGTTCCCAACCTTGCCAAGCTCCTTGCCTGCCTTCACATACGAGTCCTTAGTTGGATCCTCTCTGACCCAATCGGATGCTCTACCACTGCACCATCGGTCAAGCCTTGGCTTGCCGGTCCGGTCTTGTGTCTGACGATCCACCGTGGCGCTATCGATTACTATATCGATTTCCTTGCGGCACGAGGATTCACCGTGTCGCAACATGATGTCCTCTTTGGCGCAGCCCTAAGCCGTTCTTCATGGTGCGATCACGCTGCCTATCGTGTTACGGTATGTTTACCCGCACTAGTGCTTTGTCAAAGGTAATCGAGGCACCCCGAGGCCATGCCGATACCTATCGAGACGTAGATTGAGACTCTCATCGAGGCACCCCGAGGCCTTGTCGATGCTCTCTTTCCACCAATAAGGCCTTATGCATCCAGACCGGTGGCCTAACGATATGCGGCAATCCTTTGTGCCCATACCGCAGCTCCTCGCCGTCCACGAGACACTCTCGTGCTTGAACGTGGTCAAGTGGATTACTGCCACTACTCTACTCTTGCCGAGTCTCTAATCTAGATCCCATATCCAGACCGAACTTCCTCGACTACTACCCATGACTACCTAAACACCCTATGGAAGCAATATAGAAAATACTAGAAAGGAAAGTTAGGTACGGATCGCGCCTTACCTCAATCGTGAACCTTCTCTACTGCGGGGCTGGGGTGCTGAGTTCCTTCTCAAGCTCCTCCGATTATTCCTTCCTAAGCGTTTTCCTTTGGCTCTCGAAGAGAAGAATGATTTTGGTGTGTAAAATATGAGCTCCCTAACTCCATATTTATACCCCACGAAAATCTTCTAGAGAATATTCACTTTCTTTATTTTTTTCCACCTCCTTACTATACGGGCCAAGCCCTTCTAGCCACCACATTTTTCCTTCCTTCCCAAGGAGTAACTAGGGTTTCCTTCCCCTTCCCATGTCGCTAGAAGTTCCAGACCCGACCATAGGACCCGTTAGGTTATTACCTAGTCTGGCAGGATTTCTGCCGCAATTAAGCTGGAAAAGTGGTGAGAGAAAATTTGTTAGAATGCTAAAATTGTCAATCATCTCTTAACTAAGACTCTTGAAAGAAAACTTTACTCCATCACAAATTGTGAATCCAGAAAAACATAATAATTCACCTATGAATCGATGTGGAAGATAAAAAATACAATCAAACATCAATTACTCTCTCCTTAAAATTTAAGGTTCTAACGAAATAAAACACAGAAATGCATTCCAACATCTCTGTTGTATATACAAGCAAAACATACTACAACTTGTCTGATCAATAGATTTTTTTTTACAAACGTATTTGATGCAAAAAAAGACCAATCATTTCTTTAGAAAACCGTAGTGAATATTGACATACAAGTTGCGGATATTTGCAAAAGAAGATATCTCCATATGCATATTCTGTAAATTCTATTAATGTACATTCTATTTCTTTTCACATATAACATTTTATATGTCCAACAATTTGCTCTAAATATTTAATCTTCTAACATAGATAATTATTTACTACACCAACAACTTTTTGTAATATTAAATACACAAATAATTAATAAACTAAAATTATTATATATTTTACCATGTTAATTTTTAAATCCACGCAACGCGTGGACAATCTCGTAATCAATATAGTTTAGTGAACCTATGTCTTCGTAATGTCATATTATCACTGACTTGCCTTCTTACTAATTTTTTTTTTTTTATTGAAATGAACATGGCTAGAAGGGAGACCAATAAAAACATCTCCAAATGCCTATTGCAAACCCACTCCGATAGTAAGTGCCCTTTGCATTATAGTTTGGCATATCAAAAGACT